AGCTTCTGGAGGCCGCAATTGATTTTTTCCTTCCGGCCAGAGTTCAGGTTGCCTGGAGGTCTCTGTTCCGCTACATCCCCTCAGTGGTCACACAGTCTAGCCCAGTTTGGTAGCTATATCTGGAGAGCCACGGGTAGCACCCAATTTTTGTATTATTTCTAACACCGATTCACGGGTACACGTACTGGGATTTTTCTTCCAAGAACGGGAAACCATATTGCTCATCACTTGGTCGAACGAGGAAGGCTTCAGACGAGAAGAAACCCTTCCCAGCTTATGCCCAGTGAGGGCTAAACTGGCGATGACTTCTGATCAAATGTATTATTCTCATATTTGCTTTCCGCGAGCCTTTAAATAATTACGTTATACAGATGGTAACTCAGACACCTCCTTAGGTGCTACAGCATTCCTTGCTCACACGTGCCTCTATCTGGCTGACCTTTACACTGCTACTATTTGCTCACCTTTCCCCCTACCTTTAAACTAATCTCTGGAATTGCTTTCCAGCAGGGCAGGTTTTATAACTCACAGGAAAGAATATTCTTTCATATTCCTCAGCTTACTTCATTTGTAACCTTTCCTGCTACAGGCATCTTATCGTAGAGTATGCCTTACCAGTTCTTTTTCAAATGCAGTATGTCTACTCCCCCAAATCACCTCCTCATATGCCCAAATTACATCAACTATTAAACTACCGAGTAGAGAAGAAAGTATTAACGTTTACAAAGAAAGAAGAGGACAAACATTTTCATATATTATGTCACAGGACAAACACCAGTTCACACTGAAAGTAAAATGAAACAGTACTAAACTATAATAAAACAACAATGCTTTTGCCACACTCACTCTGGACATTTGGGAACATTCGAGAACATCTGCTCCCAAATCAGGTGCCACTGGTCTCTGAAACTCTTCACAAATACTTTTGTGAGAGTCCTTCATAATGGGTACTGAACAAGCAGTAACACTTCAATTATCAGCTATACTAAAATCAGAGTATACACAAAGATTCCTTAAGAAAGGCATCTTTTCACAGATATACTTTTAGAAAGCACAAAGTAATCTAGTTGGCCTCATGCTAGGATAGCACAGGGCACTGCAGGGAATCTCCCAAATGCTATAATCTGTTCAACCTTCTTCAACTGAAAAAAAAGAGAATAAAAAGTGAAAGTGTTTTTTCTGGAATAACAGGGACATATTGAGCATAATTCTCCTTTCTATTTCAAGCTTCAATATCTCTTGCTAGAATTAGACTTTGTATGTGCAAGGTATGGGAAAGTGGGCTAACATGCAGTAATCACTGCTTGACTAAGTAAGAGGAGATAAGAAAGATTAGTCAACTTAGTTAAAATTTCACTGGCTAATATTTCGATAGTAGGCCAAGGTTCTAACATTCAGTGAAAAAAGTTTAAACTTTCAACTGATAAAAGGCTGGTGGCAGAGCTTGCCATGATTCATTAATCTCAACTGCTTTTTATTTACTTAAAATCTTTGAAACTTGTAAACTGTGCCTTTTACCTATATTCTCTGTAACTCCTGTTCCTCTTTCTAGCATTCTAATATTCTCCTTCCCCCTCATTTTTCTGTTTTGCACAATGTAACATTTCACCTTGGATCAATACGGATTGCAGGCTCTTTTGGCCAGAGAATACTTTCCTGAGACTGTTCAGCTGATGCCAGTAAACTTTCTAATAGTCACACTGATTTCAATGACATCAGTCACAGAACAAAAGTGCTGCTAAACATGAGTAAGGGATGCAAAATCTGGCATTAATTTTTGGCAGATGAGCCCTCATATTTGAGTTCTCATGTAATACCTCAATGTGCAAAAGAACTAAGACGTTAACTAAAATAATTGAGTACAGTTCTTTACAGCAGTGAAAAAAAAAGCAGCATAAAAGTCAACTGAGTTACACCAGCTTAAAGGCAGTATAATTAGAAAATCAAATCTACTATTTTCAGAAGAGAAAAATATATTTTTTCTAGAGGTTAAAGGATTAACGCAGGAATGAGCGGGGAGCACGCTCTGGAAATACTCAGTTTTGCTAAGTGAATCTTTTGTTTGAGTGTTGCTGAATATACACTAAAACAAGTATTATTATTTAACTGGTCATATGCTTGGAGATAGCAGAATTTGAACAGATATTTTATAAAAGAACACCACAAAAACAACAAAAAAACCAAACTTACCTAAAAATTGTAATACACTACTGAAACCACTGTAAATCCAGTCAAATATGAAGGACATATCTGAATCTTATAGTCTGAAATAAATAGAAAATAAAATGCGTTTAAGCTCGGTTAGAATAGTACATTAAACATCATAAGATAACTACAGAAAAAAAAGGAATTCAAAGTACTGGATGAACAATCCAAAAGCAACTTTGTTTTGATAAACTGAATCACAGACAGATTAAGTGACGCTGCAATGTATTAAGAAATTAATGTAGAAATGGACAACCGAATCCAGACCACCTGATTCACAGCCAAGATCTTGCCTCCCTGGAAAATGCTGAAAGGACAGAAGGTGTTAGTAACAGAAGTAAAAACAATTTTTTCTTAAGTATGGTTTGTGGTGATTTTCCACTGAAGATTTCATATGGCATCTTCACATATACTTTCCAACTGGGGAAAAACGGTGCTTCTGAGAGGGCGATGCAGAGTTGGCTATGCAGAGCCTGCATTCCAGCCATCCTTGGGAGCTGCTAGCTTTGAAGCAGAGGTGATAAGCTCTGAAGAAGCCTAACTGAAGTTGAATCCAGAGAAGTTCTTTTAAAAAAGAAAAATACCCTATTTTGTTCGCATAACCTGTTTGTTTGGCTTGTGACGGAAAACTACTACTTAACGCTGGAATTGCCATTTAAAAGTTGCGACCCTAATGTACTGCCGCCTTACACACATTTTCAAAATTTAAAGCTTAAATGTAAAACACTTTTAAAGAGAACTCAAGAACAGCAGGCTTCTAACTGAAATCTTTCAGACTAGACTCAGGAGAAGAAAGTTGAGTAGAGAAGAGTCAGGATGACGGTAAACAACATCCTAGTTGCAGTAGCCCCATAAAACCATTTGCAAACAGGGTTTAAGGCTTTGTAGTTACTACTGATCTCCATTAATCATGCACACAAATATGATATAACTATACAATCTACAAAGATGCTAAGCTATCACTCTCTGTGGAAGGATTCTGTAAATTAGAATCTTCTTGGCAAAATATTGAATAAGTCTTTAGTTTGTGAGGCAGGTTTCTGCAGTTGTGAAGAAATCCTACTTCCAAGGTTCAGGATGATCTAGAAAAACAGATTATTGCCTTTCTCTGACCGTTACGGGCAAGACATTCCTCATTATCAGGATGAAGCTCTGGTACTCCTGCAAATATACATTCATTGCGGCCAGAATGGGAAAAAACTATACTGCCACTAGTCCTTGGGAAGTAAGCAGTGGCCAGGACAGGATCACACCGCATAATTTCTTGTCCCAGAAGACATCTCTCTGCAACTGGAGAAAAAAAAAGGGGGGGGAGTTCTTTCCAAGGCATATGGCAATCCCTCAGCAGCCATGCACAGCAAAAGCATTGGAGGAGTGCTCTGTCATCCCAAATGTTCTGAGAAGATCAACATTCAAGTAGCATCTCTGAAGCAACGATGTGAGATGCAAGAACGCAGCTTGCCACTTGATTCATTGTGCACCCGTGAGCAATTATTTTCTTAACTTTCATCTGAATTCCCTCATTATCTAAAGTAAGGATAATCACACTGAAAGCAGTAGTTGGGCATAGTGAACTAGTATCTAGTATGAAAATCTTTTGAAAGACTAAAGGGCAGGATACATAGAAGTATTTAGTCAGCTAAGTCCTGTTGAAGCGCTCAACTCCTGCTAAAGGCAGTGGAAGTTAGAGTCCAGGTATCCTTGGGAAACCAGACTGAGCTACTGAACATAGCTTCCAAAGGCCTCCTAATAAAGCCCTCCACACAGGCTGCAGGCTTCCCTCGTATCCGGGTTGCTTTCCATGGTTTCTATGCTTGTGGCTTCACAAGCTGACTTAGGACAGCTTTTAACCTGGAGCACTGCATAAAGCAGTCGAACCACAGGTCGGTACCAGATCAGAATCTGTGTTTCTGCCTTTCTCAGAACAATCACACTCATGACAACAAGCAGAGTTTTTCACTACACAATAACAGATATATCATAGAAATATAATAGGGAAGGAAGAGAAAAGACGATTTTCATTATCTTTCTTTGCACTGGAGCAAAATCTGGTCAGCCCATATTTGCCTCCTCTGATTAAAGATGACGAAACGTTAGGAATTCTTGGTTTTTCACCACTAGCCCTATAATTCCTATGTCCTACGTTACTCGGAACAACTGACCAAACATAACAGAAGAAAATTTTAAGAATAAAAATCAAATAAGCTTGTCAATGCATAAACACCTCGTTACACAATGCCATGACTGAAACTGTCGTTTGCATGTCTGAAAAGCAAAGGTCAAGAACAAGCAAACATGGCAGAACATACACGTCAGCAGATTTATTTATTGCTTGAACAAAATACCGAACAAGAAAAACCTCAACGAGGCTTAGAAAAATGATCTCCTCAAATAACTTACAAATCAGTGCAAACCGCATGATGTAAGAGAATGGCTCATATTACTGAGGTGAGAATAACTTCCCAGAGTTTAGTTATATTAACCTGGAGTGATCCTTTTCCATCTATGAAGCTCACAGACCAAAGGAAAAAAAATCTCTATGCGTTATCGAAAATGTAATTAGACGCAAGATTCAAACTGTTAATATGAGAACAAGATTACTCTGCAAACACAGATCAAGTGACAGCAATAAGGGTTAAATTTCCATTACTGTAGAAAAAGTGGTTGTAAAAACAGCGGTATCCAAATACGCTAAAAACAGCTGTAGTATCAACTGGCAGCACTTAAAGGAAAACACTCCTATTAAAATGGGAAAAAAATTGACAGCTAATTGTAAAGGCACACTGATAATGTTTGGATAGAGATATTAAATCTACTCTTATCACACACAGGGAAAAATAATTACACAATTCATAGGAGTGTCAAATGAAAGAAATAAAAACCTTTAGAGGCTCTGCATCGATATCAAAATTCATTATGCTGCTAACATGTCAAAGTCGTGGAATGATAAAATTAAGGAAAGCAGCAAGGTTTTTCAGTACAAATGGACTCAAACTTTCAGGCTCGTATTAAAAATGCCACAGAGCAGAACAATGAGAGCTCTAGCAATCACTGTTCACAAGCCACAATAAAGACAAAAATACCAATTATTTTAGGGTTATTTCAAGGCAACCCTCGAAAATAATCAGTGGTGAGCATACAGAATTTTTAATAATGAAGTTTAAAGGACATGTGACCATCTTTGGACACCAATTATTTCTACAGACATCACCAACACATACCTCCTTAATAAAAATACGAAAGCAATCTTTTACTATCACATCAACAACAGATGGTTACCACTTCAAAATGTCTCTCTCAACCCTGGCTACCATTAGGTAAGCTTTCTTGAGCGAAGTATCATTTGGTAACTTCTGTGGAGCCTTGTAAGCCACTCCACAGACCAATAGCATGGGTTTGCTTACTAGAGGCCACCTTCTGACTGCAGTGAAGCAGAAGTCCCACCCAATAGCTTTGGAAATATCTTGAGACAGTCTCCTAAGGAGAACGTCACTGACAGAAAGGACCGGCAAACAAACTTGCTCACAGTTAATTCTGTTTCATTTTCAGAAGCAAGGAACTTATTTCCTTCTTTGGCTCTAACTTTTTCAAGTGAAAAGGGCATTACCTCATTTCAGAACCAGTTAGCATAATGCTTATTTCCAAAAATCCTCCGTTATCTAAAGTGTTACCGATATCAGGCTTGTAAAGAGAGTTTTAAATATAAAGGAATAATTATGAAACAGTAGCTAGTTACACTCAAGTAAAAGACCTCTTGCAATAAGTGGAAAGTCATTCCACTGTGCCTGGGTGGGCCCTGCTAACAACAGATGGAAAACAAACCCCTATCCCAGACAGCCGCAACTAACCATACACTCAGAGCTACAGCAAGTTTGGAAACACTTTCTAAAAACAACTCATAAACAAGCGTTTAAAGTCTACTTTTCATACTGCATTTGCTTTTTTTTTTAAAGGTATGATGCAAATATGATCATTTAAAATTATCATTTTACATATGATCATTTGAACATTCTGAAGTGTTACCGCTGACAACAAAACCCAAAACCCACAGCAAATTCTGCAAGTGAAATGACGTACGCCTTTTACAGTCAAGTCTACTCTATGACAGGAAACTGCATTTGGATAGAACAGAATAGAGCCATAGAACGAACAAAAATAAAAAGAGATTAAAATAAATGCTTGCAGTTAGGCAGGCGAGGGGAAGAAGGGTAATGAATATCATTATAGGAATTCTGATTCACAGTTTTCAGAGGTGACAGGCCATTTCAGATGGGGGGTGGAAACTAATTCAAATTCTATTTACAAGTGAGAGTCATTTTTTTCTTCAGAAAGTATAATAATGACACACTTAATTTAAGATTCAAAAAAAAAAAAATTATCCACGTTACCCACTAGTCTGCCACGGCTCTGAATGTCTGAAAAAGCAAGTCACATCCCATTTTAGTATTCATAGCTGTTACCTTACAGCATTATCACCAGAGAGAACAACGGATCTTTACTGTTTTCTGAGTAACGAGCAAAAAAAAAAAAAAAAGAATAGTAGTAGGAAAACAGCAATCTCTAGGAAACACTGATGTATTTCAGCGCAAAAGCAAAGAAGAACTACAGGAACTGAGCGGGAGGTGTCTTCTTTCAGCGGTACTTAACGCTTGATCAAGGTTGCCTGGGAGTTGCACAAAACACGGGGGGGG